CCCCAAAACCCCAAAACCCCAAAACCCCAAAACCCCTTGCTATTCAAATAATAAATGGACTATTAATTGGTTTTTAATAATAAAATCCAAAGAATGAATAAGTTATAAATAATGTCAGGAGACTCTAGAACAATGAATTGGAGTCTCTTATTTGGACTTGTTTTAATTCTTAGTACAACATAAGTAAATACCTATACTCAAGAGGAATATGACTTGGTATATAATGTATTTTCAGAAATGTTCAAAGGTGATACCAAGTAGATACTTGAAGGAGTCACATAATGCGTACTCAATGCAAATTTTACTGATGTTCTGAGTCTTGAAAACCCTGATTAGGATCAACTTGAAATCCAGAGCTTTATTAAGAAAAATTATCCTGATGAAAGCTACAAGATTTAGTACGGATAATTCATCATAAGAGGGATGTAAAGTTATCTAGGGGCTCCTAATCTATTAGGAGCAGTGGACTCATTAAAATTATTTGCCAGAGAAATCTAGCTATACAAGTTATCTTTCAATATGAGTGGCTGTAACTAATCTTATCCCATCAGAACATCTTACCTCAAGAACGCTTATTTGCAATTCAATCAGGCATAGAATATTAAGGGTGACCTCTTTGCTATAGTATTAAATGGGGTAAACACAACCACTAATGTGAAAAACATTTAGACCTACTTCGACCAGCCTGACTTGGAAAATACTGCTCTTAGCTTTGGCAAGCTTATGAATCCATTTATAAACATGAAAATCTCTGGTACCTCAATGTCAACTTAAGATGAGAAGCTCTATTTTATTCTAGATAAATTACTCTGTATAAAAGGTTCCTCGACTTTTCAAAATTCAGCTTAGATTTATAATTTTGTTAAGGGAATGGGGTCTGATTTCTTTACATCCTTAGATTAAAGCTTAGCTTAGATTACTAGTAATCAGACGGCTCTCTATCATTCGGTATTCTATGAGATGCTGAGTAGCATCAATTATCTAAACAATAACATCCAATCTTACAATAATGACTACGGCACTTCCGTCTGGAATACTGATTTCATTAATTGTATTGCGCTTATTCAAGGCAAAATGATAAATAGTGAGTAAAGTGATTTGGTTGAAAAAATTATCTTCAATTATCAAAGATAATCTTACGGAGAGTTAACTGTTAATTTGAAGTCAGTAGTTTCAAGTCTTTGTGCACAGAGTAGAAGAAGATGAAGTAAAAGGTTTAGATATAATAATACAAGTTTAATCATTGATTTCATAAGTTACAAATGTTTAATTTTAGTTCATTTAGTTTTCATGGGGTTTTGGGGTTTTGGGGTTTTGGGG